TGAAAAGCTTGGAATTACTGGGAATTTCTGGGAAAGGAAGGTTCCAGTTTTGTGAGGACTTGGAATTCTTAGAAATTCCTAGGAATTTTCAGCTATACAAACTTAGTAAGGGTGGAATTCTTGGAAATTTCTGGGAATTGAATTTGAAGCAAATTAAATAACCCTGAAATCCAAATAATTCCAAGAAATTCTCAATACCTTGAATGTGAAGGTTCTAAGACATGAAGTAATTTTAGAGGCTTAGAACTGGTTCAATAAAAGATATGCTAAACAAAATATACCAAGAGATGTATATACCTGTACATGTTTATCATGAAATTTATTATTTAAACTAAGCTTTAGTAAACCTTAACATTCATATGCATTTTTTCATAAAGCAGCAGTTACATTTATTGCAAATTGTCAATTTAAATCCAATGTTCTCATAACTCAGAGATTTGCTTTCTAACCTCAAAGGCCTCTTAGATTCCAATCATAAAAGTTTTTATCGTGATGCCAAATGTCTCATGTCCGGAGATGTGCCAAAATCATAATGCATATACACATAATCATAAGCATGGGTCAATACTGAATGCTTGTTACAGTCCAACTTTGTTGATTTGGGTACTGGTGCACTGTTATCATCTAGGTAGCTCTTATACTTCCTAAGGTGGTATCCATCTGTCATAATAATTAGGATAAAACATGTTTGTAATCACATTCAAAATTGTGATTGCCTTCTGTTGTTTCTCACCTTTGCTGTGAACACAACTCAAGTCAGGGTTTCGAGTCTTTGTTTCCTCGACAGCTTTCAGCCACATATCTTGCATTTGTAGTACGTTCGATTATTATTACAGTTACAACAAGAATTTAATTTTAAAAAATCAATTATGTAACTGTAATTAAGCCCTTCACTCCCAAGGGTATTCAGTCAAAATTGACAAGAAATCTCTCAATTTCAACTTGCAGAATCAACAAAAACAAACAACATAGCATGAAGATGCTGCTTGACAGCTTACATTTGAATACTAACACACAAGAGTTTTATCCAAAGAAGTTACAACCACATTAAATTAAGTCAAAGCCTGACTCAGGGAGGAAAGGATACAGGTAAAATCTTATTTGTATCATCATCTTAAATTAATTGACTCCTTTCAAGACTATTTTTTGACTGACAGTATTTATTGCAATAAGCATAACCCAAGTTATTGCATTTCATGAAAAAGAATCAACGGATTTTATTCACAATTTGTGTCAAACCAAATTTACTGAATCACTAGGACTATTTTAAATGAATCGTTGTAATTGAGGATAATTTTTACAAAGTTTTCAAGAAAAGAAAAAGAAATTTCGTCCTAATATTACTACATGTTGATGTTAATATACAAAAGCAAACAATTAACATTTAAACCCGAGTTAAGCATGTAAATAAATTTCATTCACTACTTGAGCTTATAGTTGTGAGTTAATGCATGTATTTATTTGATATTAGTTGCCTTGAGGTATTCTTAAAATTGCCAGTAATTCTTAAACATTCCTAGAAATTCCTAAAAAATTCCTTGGAATTTCCAGCAAGTTTTAAGATTCATAGTAATTTCAGGGAAGTCATTGGTGCTCTGAGTTGGAAATCCTAAGAATTCCCAGGAATTCCCAGAAATTCTTAGGAATTGAATTCCTAGGAATTCCAAGTCCTGTTGGCTTGTGAACGTGGAATTTTTGGGAATTTCTAGGTTTTTTCGGAAATTCCTAAGAATTCCCGGTCCGAATTACCGTGAAAATTCACACCTCTTATTCCCAGTAATTCCTAGGCTAATCCTGGGAATTCCAAGATCCATTTCGTAAGGGTAATGTTGACTTTCTCGTACAGAGATTGTAGTGTAACATGAGTCAAACCAGCATCTGCCAGCTTCTGGACCATGTTTGTCGAAAGATGAAGCTCTCTATCGAACGTCTGGATGGTATCTTGTCGCTATTCCGAGAAGATGGCTTGATCGAAGGCCTCATTCGGCGAGGTACATTTACCATGATTGACCGATATAATTTTTCATGTGCAGTTTGAAGTGGATGAGTAAAAAGAATTTGCTTTGACGTCCTCCAGATTTTCACGAGCGTCAAACTCAGCGGAAATTAGGGTTTCATAAAACATCAGCAATTTGTTGGTCGACACAGATTTCGCGAATTTCTCTAATTTTCGAGGTACTAGAGGTATGAACAAGCCTTGGCTTCATTTTCCTTTTCTTCTCTTTGCCACTGTCATAACCGTGAACTTTCATTATTCCGTTTTAAATGGAAAACAAAACAAATTTTGCAATCCTTTCTTAACAAATGCGAGTTTGCATTTTCGTAGTTGTAATTTACAGTTTATCAAGGGAAATATCAACAATCTTTCTGACAAGTTTAAGATGAATATTTTATTTTACAATCAAACTAAGTGAAGCGTACCCCTCAAGATTACATTAATGAGTTTATTATTTAGATATTGAACCTGCCAGTCGTTTCAAGAATGCAATAATGAGTTGATTATTTAATTATTGTACCCGCTAGCCGTTTCACGAATGCAATAATGGATTGGATTATTTGAATATTGAACCCGATAGCCGTATCCGTTTTGAAAAGGCGCGAATAGTTGTTCAAATCAGAAGTCCATTTCTGAAGTCCAATAAGATTGTTCTTTTTGACGAGGAATCCTGAAAATGAACAAACTGCACTGTAAAAACACTCCGGAAACAGTCGATCGCAAATATTTACGAGATAAAAAAAGTATTGCGATGGCTTTGCCCGTAAACTCTTTTTTTCGACCATGACCACACACAAGAATTTCTACAAGTTCGTCAAGATGTAAATAGGCGAAGAAAGCTCTCGATAACTTTTCATTTACAACATTTACAAGAAGTTCCACGCAACACTCGAACTCACCTTTCCCGCCATGTCTGACGCTATGTTGAAATGGTTCCGATCCATCATCACGTGTTCGCATAATCCAATCAGAAATGGACTTCTGATTTGAATAACGATCCGCGCCTTTTCAAAACGAATACGGCTATCGGTTTCAATATTCGAATAACCAATCCATTATTGCATTCTTGAAACGGTTAGTTGGTTCCATGTTCAAATATTCAATTCGTTATTGCGCTCCTGAAACGATTAGCGGGTTCAATATTCAAATAATCAAATCATTAATGTAATCCAGAGGGGTACGCTTCACTTAGTTTGACTGTAATTGTACCGTCTGTGGTTCAATTAGAACATAGTTAATAGTCCCCTCTATTAACTATGATTAGAATTAAAGTCTCATCTACATTTTTACGATCTCTTGTTTACGGAAAATTATGTTTCATTTTTTGGCAACATTTACACTTCTCCATTTCCGTTAGTAAAACTGTCAATGTGTACAATCCTGGATCCAACAACGATTTCATTTTCCTTTTCATCTTCCCTGGAGTTGTTTCGGAGAGATTTCGGTCATTTCATTTTATTAGGAATCAAATTCATTGCGAAACAAATCGTAGCACTCAGAGGTATCCACTTAAATTTTTCGCGGAACAAGGTAAGATCTACCAAATGCACTCGACGCGACTTTATTGATGGGGTGTCGACTTCACCATCCTCCTTTCGCTCGTTAAATAAAATTTTTTTTGACCACTTTTGGCAAGAAACCTACCATCCAAACATTTTCCTACCTGCTTTCAAGAAGTAAACTTTCCATTTTTGTTTCTCAAACAACCACTTCCGCTGGAAACAATAGAGGTGCCGGCAATTTTGAAACGTTCATGGCGGCCATGTTTCTTTACAACTCGCCCGCAGATCTGATCACGCGCGCCATCGCGTATTTCTCTCGAGAGTAATTAGCTTGCGTGTATCTTGGAATCCATTCTCCTCGCGGTCAAAAAAAAACCTTTCGAGCCTCCTTAAAGAAAGTTGATCACAAGAAGGAAGTTTGTCTTTACTTAAATTCTTCTCCTTGTTGCTAGGTTCGCTTTCTCAGCATGGATATGAACACTCCCCTTATCCTGAAATTGACAACTTTATCTTAAGTGTTCTCACCAAGGGTGGAGTACAGGGTCAAATCAGGAGATGGGTTTATTTTCCACAAGGTACCGTCTTAGACAAAAGCTTTTACACATAAAAAATATTTATATATAGATATGATTATACGTTTACAGGTAAAAACGAGCGATATAATGTCCTGACGTTTCTACATTTTGTCTAAACCGAGCCTTCAAAAAAGCCTCTAAGTCTCAGAGACAGTTCCTCTCTTTCATTTTTTTCTTTTTGTCTTTAAGT